CTACATGCATGCTTGCAATTTGGTACTACACATTATTGGCAAACTCAGCACAGGGAAATGTTGTATGTCCTTGCTCTTTATCTGTTCAGTGAATTAAATTAGTTTATTAAGGGAGACGAATTGCTTTTAATATACTGATATATCTTGTTTATAATTTAAAATACATGAAATCGCTCGCCGGAGTACAGGAGCAGGCATGTTGATGTAGAAAAAATAGTGAAAAAATAGCCTTAATCCTTTATTTTTAGAAATTTCTATGCATACAACTCAATTTGCATGGATTATTTATACTCGAAATTTGCACACCCTTCTCACTCCAACTGGCAGCACTCATGTACTCGTATTTACTGCTACCACTAACTCACCTCTTTTACAGGCACACCGCTGCCACTCACTCACTCGCTAGATACCAGTGTTGCCGCGGTGTTCAGAAATCTTAAGGCAGTGTCACACGATTGGTACATTTGGTACAGAGTAGTGTTGTTTGGAAATTCTTTTATTGAGCTAAACTCAAATCTCTTAAGAACACGACTCTGTGACTGCCAAAATGTACAAATCTTTACAAATGTACCAATCGTGTGACACTGCCTTTAGCCCAGTACCACATCCGACAGCTTCAAAATCAAAAAGAAAAAGGAACGACAATATTAACTAGTTCCCGAACTCCAGGTTTTAGTGAGAAATTGTTCTCAAAATGTGTGATAAATGTGTGAAAGGAAATAACTTCGGACTATTTCGGACTAAATCCTGGAGTGCGAGAGCAGGCTAGTTGTCTGTAGCTAACAGTGATGCCATATGCAGATTAAAGGTGGCATATTCAGTGAAAGAAAACAAACTTAATGTGTTGCCACAAAATCATAAAAGTCTTAAGATTGCTCAGCATGCTTGGGAATTAAAATGTATCACAATTTATACTACGCTAAAAATAAAAGTATATTTTAAAAATCGATGGAAAATGTATAATTTTGATCCATTTGGATCAAAACGGCAACACTGCTAGGCACCCACCTCTTTTACTCACACACCTGTTATTCACTCACCGCTGTTATCCGCTCTACTTCAACATTCACTCACCGCTTGGCACTTATCCACCTCAATTCCCTAACTTACCTCACATGCTCTCCTTTCTCTTTACCCTTTCTTATCTCCACCACTCCTTCCTCCTTATCTCCCCACTCTTCTTTTTCCCCTCTCTTTAATTCCAACTATGCATATCCTTGCATTTACAATTTCATGTAGTAATTTCATGTGCCTCTACTTCATTTGGCATTTGTCGTTTGTCCGCTTTCTCTCTGCCGCTACTACACACTTTTTACGAGTACTGGTACTGGTACTACCGCTACTTGTTTTCATTTTCATGTTTTCTTTGAATTTTGTCGCATGTTGTGTTTATTTTCAATTAGGGATTAAAATATTTTCTATGCTCCCCAAATGCTTGTACGAGTACACGGTAGCAGTGCATTTGTCGTACTACACACATGTTGTTGGCTGCAAATGAATTTTGAATCCTTTTCTGCGACAACCTGATTATGTTCTGTGATTTTATGTGTTAGCCCTTTTCGTGTTTCAGAGTTGAAGCAATCATGTTTTACACAATAAATTATGAATTTAACAATTTTAGGCTAATATCTGTTCATGATTTAAAAAGAAATAAAATATGCAGTGATTCAAATCAAAGGGCCATTGCATTCGAAGTGGCTATGGAAAAGGAAAACCCTTCCCAAATTCTTAAGGAAAGGCTCTACATTTTTGCCTTTGCTAACGGCAGGATTCTGAGCACTTTCGTATTTTCAATACCACAGGATAGTACGCCATCAATACCTTTGTGGACAAGATTCTATAACATTGAGTTTCCTGAGGCTGAATGCTGATTTAATTCCAGCAGTAATCCTGGACTCTTAAATGCTTTACTCAGAGTGCCAGGTCACTCGAGAGTGCCAGGTAATACGACATGTGGCCATACCAGGCACTCTTCGGTCTGCAACAAGTTATGGCACTCCCCAGTTCGTCTTTCGAAGCCACCATCAGAAACTGTGTGCATACATCGCTCAGAAATGACTGGGAGTCATCGAGGGGTTGCGGGTGGGCATGTTGGGTTCAATTACGGAAGGTCTATCTGGTTTTTTTTCTATCATAAAGCAGATGAAGCTCAGACAACTTGTTGGTCAGCTGAATGGTCGCTCCACGTGCCACAAATATCTGACTGTGATAGGCGTACATGACAACTCCAGTTGCCCAACCATCCTTCCACGAAGAGGATGAGACGGTGGAACACTTTCTTCTGCTTCTGCCGCGATGTGTTGAGGTGGAAACACCTGAGCTCTTTGACACCCTACAATCTGCTTAGGTGTATTCGTAAATCGTGCAGATTTGAAATAGATTAAAAGGATCAGGAGAACAGTAAAAGGGCACCTAATTTCATCTCATCGTTTTCGAAACAGGTCCCAATCTAGGCGCTTAAAGTTATATTGAGACCCACCGGTTGAATTCCTATCGGACAATGACCGATTAAAGCATTTGGTTAGTTTAAAGAGTTATTTCACCACACCCAAAGCTAAAAGTTTTGTTTCACGTATGATTCATCAATTTGGGGCCGGAAACCGGTAATATCTTCGGACAATCACGAGATGCTTCGCATTGAGGGGCGCGCAACACCACGTTTTGATAGTAAACGATACGTGCCTAGAAACTTCCCGTCTCTGAAAACAAACTGGCTAAATCTTGCATGCATAACTGTACGCGTTTCAGTTTTCTGCATACTACGTAGGCTCTGTCACCGAATTGGCTCTTGTTCTTGCTAATATAAACTCTTCCACTTGTCAAATTTTGCCTGCATTGATTGTCATAAATTTTAATTTATTCCAGTTGACCACTTCAGGCTAATGCACGCTACATTTTGTATGCAAAATTTGTGCGGAAAAAAATATAAATTCAACAACAACTTTTGGCAAATTTTTAGAACATAAAAATTTATTTGTTTCAAACTGGAGTTACGCCGCGTGTTTAGATGATCAAAATGTTTGTCAGCTTCAAATGACATAAAGTTTCAAATTTAATTATGTCCAACAAGAATGGCAAGCAAAATGGGTAGAGGGTGAGTCAGTTGACGAAAAGCAATTGTGACTGTTGTTGGTGGTCGTATGAATCCAATGATGTGGCTAAAAACGCTCAAGGCGAATCAAATTTATGCTGGAAAGATTTATGTGTACATACAAACATACATACATACATATATATATATATACTGTGTTGTAGGAAATCATTTGTAAAGCACGTAAATCCCTGCATAAAACGATAACAAAAATTTCAAATTCAAAACTAAGTATGATTACTAATTTTTTTGCTTAGTTAAACACAAAATATTAATATTAGGCATGTACATGATATTGCATTCAATAAAGCTCAAGCACTTGTCATTTGAAGTGTGACTGCTGTCAGTGACGCGCTGTCAGCGAATACGTTCACCCAGCCTCTCATAGTCGTAGGTGTCACTTTATGACAATCGAACCCATCAAAGTAATTTTGAATTAAATTTGTGAGCAGTAATTTTTGGATTTAGAAGGAAGCAGATTTTGCACAAAAAAGCGCTAATAAGATTTACACTATGAAGCAAAAGTGAATATGAATTCTGTAGGTTTTTGTATACAAAGACAGCTCAATTCCTTGAATGGCATCGCACCGACTTCTTTGGACGAAGTTAGATATCTGGGCGTTATTCTTGACAGAAAGTTAACTTGGCGGCGCAATATAAAAGATCTTTGCAAGAAAGCTATAACTGCTATGAATGCCTTTAAATAAGCGATAAGAAAAAATGGGGATTGACGCCTCACATTGTGAACTGGATGTACACAGCAACTTAGCGGTTGTGCGTCCAATTCTTTTCTACGGTACCGCGGTTTGGTGGCTGTCCGTAGGTAAATCTACAATAAGAAACAAATTAGCAATAGTTCAATAAAATATATATTTGGCCTTAATTTATTCAGCGCAGCAATTCTTGTCTTGCATCTCCACCAAATCTTGTTCATTGTAATTGGCATTGCTCTGTCACATTTACTCCATAGTGTAGTTGATAGAAAATACTTAGCAAGTAATATTTCTTCTGCCATGGAAAAGTAGTATTGGAAAACAAGCTTTTTTGCATATTTACTACGATTTCACTACACTTTGGCGTGCGCTGCAGGTTGATTAGCTTTTTTGGCTATAAAATTGCTTCGATTTAAGCAACGTATAACTATTTTTTCTCTTAAATTCCACAAGTTGACGGAATTAATATGCTATTGACTATTTGACAATCGACAGCTTGCGAATTTTGATACACTCAGCGCCTGCAAGAAATCTAAACTGCCGCTCAACGTGTCTCAAGTGAGAATGTGACAGTCAGAAGTTGTTTTTATTCTCCTCTTCTCTGCTGCTTTTTTTTGTTTTTTTTTTTTTACTGATGCTTGATTTATGGTAACGCGCAGTTGAAGGATGTGTCGTGCTACTGTCAATAAGAACTGCCAGTAATATTGATGAATAATTTTATTTTGACTGCGTATAATTAAGCACCCCCACCACAGAAGGTGATCCGGGTTGAGTATTAAAATTATGCAATTTTTATAACTTTGCTACCTGATTTTCTACTCGCTGGCAAATACCCCATTATCCACACTCTAGGTGTTAAAATTCAGCTAACATGTTGTAAGCACATAAATATAGTATTTTCAACAATTCCCTCGAATAACAATTGAATACTAAATTTATTTTGATAAAATGCAATATTCACAAATAAAGCAAAAAATATTTTGTACAAATATACGAAATTTTTTATTTTATTTTGAATTTCTACTTCTTGGTATTTAAGTTTTATAACCAAATTACAGTAGCAATAATATAAGTATACAAGTACTTTGCTTTTACGATTTGTCATAAAAATGTTACTCTTTTATAACTTTATAGCCCAATTTCGCTACGTGCATGTTATGTATTACTTATTATATTTGCATTATTTTCTTTACTTGCACTTAACCCGCCTTGGGCAGCATTGCCAGGAGACCAGGTTTGTAATTGCTCACTTCTTGTACCACTCCTTCGCCTATTATACGATCATTTATGATCAGCTCACGTTTTTTACCATCCAAATGGTAGGCTGCGAAATTTATTTCGAAATCCACTTCGGGCAGCGTGGAAACTGTGGCATCTTCGGGATACCAGAACTTATGTATGTAGTATTCACCCTGAAATCAAAAGTAAAAGACATGTTATTAGTGATGATATTAATAAAGAGTAAAAAGTACAATAGATCCAGTAGGTCAGAGAGAGGTATACACTTATGAAAATATATTCACCTTTGAACGAATGTATGCCGATAAAACATTCCCTATTATATTCGGTTTTTATTTTCATTGGTAAGGGTTCCCACTTTAGATCGCTAGATTGGTTGGTCGATACCTAGAGGATTGAACCGCTCGCAAAAGAACAATTTCTAGCCACTCTGGCAGTCAAACGTTTTCTTCATTTAAAGGGCTTCTGCGCACGGAATCATTCTCCATGGAAACCTCAGCCAAATCGCTTAGACCTTTATAGTGCCATTCAAGGAAAATATGCTACACTCCCAACTAGTCGACATTCAGTGCCCATTAAAAGTGAATAGAAGTTCTATGGAAACTCTACAGCAGAACTGAATTTCCGGTCAGCCCGTTAGTCAAGTTCGTCAAAATTACTACCTCTTCATATTATAGTGCTCCAAGGCGGGCTTTCCCAAATAGGGTGCCGCGAGCGTATGACTGGGGTGTCGCTAGTGGCTAGAGTATACTAGTGGCGCGGGCAAATTCTTTAAACTTTACATACACAACGCAAGCGGTTTGATCAAACTTCAACATGGCGGCCAGAAAATACGTTTTGTCAACGAAAAATGTAATCAGAAAATTTTCAGAAAATAGCCGTAGCTGTAGACCTTATCCGCGTTTCATCCATGTTTCTTCCAGTTTTTCGATTAATTTTCGGATCTTTTGCTGGCTAGTTACTTATTCTTTGGAGCTTCACAATCACACTGCGAAAGGGCGAATCAACAAGAAAATTGATAAGTGCCGGTTTCACCAGCAATTGAAATGGAAAAAGATTTTTTATTTTCTGTCAATTTCCAATTAAAACTAAAAAAAAATTTAAAAAAAATTTTCACTTGAATTGCTTTCGTGAAATTGGCTGTAAAAGTTATTTTCTTAGTGTTAACTTGGAAGGTTTAAAAAAAAAGAATTGTCGAAAATTTTCCCAACATCGAATCTGAGGATGTCTACACTTGGATAACAAACCCGTTTTCATGTGACCCGAAAAGCAAACCTACTGAGATGAAAAATTAAGCTTTTGAAAACCTTCTGAACATCAGTGAAGACAGCATCTTGAATATTAAATACTAAGAAGGGAGCCAAGAAGGTTCTAGATACAAGTATATGCACAAAACACTGCTGTTGGCAAGATTGCATTAAAAATACTAGTGACTTTTACTTGTATATTTCTATATGAGACTACATTTTAACAAATGCTTACAAAAGCAAGTATTTTTAAGCAAAAAACCAAACCGACTTCAATCCCCATACAAAAATTTTAGATTATCGTTAATCTCTTCATGATCCAATGATCGGATTTAAAATAAATTAGAATATGACCACTTGTGAGGTAAACTTTCCTTTCCTTTAAAAAAATAATTATAGTAATCGGTTAACGTGGACCAAAGTTATGCGGTAGCATACATAAAAAATAATTGAAAAAATATTCCGACCAATTTTATAGCCTTCCATACCCATAGTGCTCCCCGTTCTCATTTTTAATGGATTGTCCTGACTTTTTGACAGATCTGAGTCTCTAGTTAGTGCTCCTTTATTGCCCCTCTATTAGCTAAGCGGTTGGTTTTATCATCGGACACTGTATAATCGGAATACACGAAGAGCGTAATGGCCGCCCTTCATATGACTTCTAGCGTAGTTGCGAGAACGAGAAGGAGGAGGAGGTGCAGTGTATCGATCAGTTTATCTGCAACTACCCCAGCTTTACCCTAAATACGGCGATGTAATCTAAACGCCTAATTGCCCAGCGGACTAAGAGCAAAGTACTTTCAAAGGACAAGTTTTGAAATAAAGGCCAACATAGATTTTTAGAGAAATAAATAAAGTCAAGCGACAGCATCCTGAGGAGAAAAAGGACTGTCCTTTGAAATAAAGTACGTATGGTCACCATGGTTATAGCTTACCTTCACAATCGGGCATTTCTCAATCAAATTTCCATACTGATTCAAATAGTTATAAATGAGTGAACCAATCGGTGATAGATTACGCCAACTGAATAGACGGCACAAATTCATAGTGGTGTTTGTCATGAAATGATAAGTTGGATCGTTTTTCTGTACGAAACGAATCTCTGTATGGATATCGACGTCTTGGAGGTCCTAGAGTAAGCAATTAAATTGAAATTTAGAAAAAAATTCAAGATAAGTTGCGAGCAAAGAAGTTAATAAAACTTCATATGAACAGAATGGTCAAAATTTTCAGCTAATCACTTTTAGCTTCCAAAGTATTTCACTTATAAGATTCACTAATGTCATTGCGATCTAAACGGAAAAAATAGCCTTGCAAATACCTTCAACACGTGCAGCGTAAAATTCAAATGCGGATCTGTCGGATCGAAGGACATTTTATGCGAAACATGCTTCTCATCACTCCAAACCTTGACTTCCTTGAAATTGGGGCGCATTACTTTCTGCAAAACAAAAACAGCATTAAATACAAATTATAAATTAAATTTCTCAATAATAAAATCACTAGTTTACCTCCGCGGCTGCCAAAACACAGTACAGCACGAAGATCAAATTCAACCAAACAAGTGTCGCGCCTGGCATCATTTTGCTAAACGCTGATGAATATTCAAAAGAGGACAAAATACTTTTTAACTGGGAATGCCCAGCTATTTTAGTGCCACAAAGCTCTCTACGCCCATTTATATAGCATTCTCTGTACAGTGGAAGTTTCAAATGGCTAAAAATTAAAATGTCATTTAATATTGCTGAAAGATTTTAAAATTTCAAATAAAGGCGTTATCACTAAACTACCATCGCTAGCAATGATACAGAACGCCCAATTCAGAAAATGTATCAAAATAATTACTTTTTTTTTAGTTTGAATGTTTGCTGTACATATGTACATATTTGCATATCCCCAGTTTCACGATTATTTTCCGATCAAATAACAGTTCTGAATGATTTCTAAACTTTTTTTTTTTAATTTGCTGCTTCAGTGAACCATGAAAATTGCAATGATAAACACTTTTTCGCCATTTTTAAAAGCCGCCTGACATTTGACGCCATTATTTGCAGTTATCGCGCAGAGAAATAAAATCCTACAACATTTTGGAACAATTAAAAAAGCGATGCAAAATAATAATTTAAAACAAATTATAATCAAATCTTTGGTTTCCTATATTTTTTTCTTTTAACAAAAAACTTTGCACCCCGCCAGCAAAAATTTGTTTACTTCATTTTCAGGTTTTCGTTTTGTTAGTGTTTTAGTGATATTCTTCTTGTTTGTCTTGTGTCCGCCAGTAAAATTATAGCTTTTCGCCAAATTTGCATCAGTTAAATTTTGTGTAGCTATGAAGTTGCAAGCAGCAACTAACTGTGTGTCTGTCAGACGTATCTCTATGCTCGTTGTTGTTGTGGTAGCTTTAGTTGTGTGCGGTGCACCAATCGCCTTAGGATGGGTAAGTTTTGTATAAATTTTTTAGTGCAAACATGAAGGTGCATAAATATATTTATTATTTTTATTAATTTACTCGTTGTCTGAATTTAATTATGGTAAAAACATTTTAATTGTCGCAAAGTTTGTAATTAATTTGATTCGGCGCTAAATAAGAGAAGAAAAAATCACAGCCAGATTGAGCGTTGGTTTGTAAAGTTTTGCTCATTATGAGTTAGGAAAAGAGTACACAATGAAGGGAAAGATATTGAGGAAAACTGCGATGATATTTTTATCATGAGTGGGAAGGATTTTAGATTTAGCACATACCTTGAATTGGCAGTATGTTCCATAAAATAAACATATATATATATATATATTTTCAAAGTATTCCAAGCCACACCCAAGGGCAAACAGTTTTTCATAAAATGCATAAAAAAATCTGACCCTAAGATACAAAAAGATCAAAAAACGAGGAAAGGAAAAACGTGCCTGGAGTCTGCAGAACATGTCATAAATATTGGCACCTGTGAACTCCGAAACAGAGGCAAGAAAGTGTGAAACGGAACACCTTAAATTTACTGAAGGAATAATTAAAGCAAGTGCCCAGAAATCCTTCACTTAATGTCTTTCGCAGTAGCTGGAGGCATGAAATCATTTTGGGTCCCCACGAGCCCTTCATCCTTTGAACGTCCTTCCCCGCCGCAGACCTGCTTTGAGATTTTACGATGCGCATCTTACCAAGAGCAGCCTATGGATAACTAAAAATTTTGTTAGCCTCATAAATAAGAATTCGGAAAAAACGGAATCAGGGCAAGAAGGAATTCAGCCTTTTCAGCTCCTTAATTACGCCCCTTAAAACATGAACTGGTAAGCAAAGACAAATAATTTGGTCTCAAAATCTGTGATAGTCATGAGAAGTTGCAATAAGACCAATTCCAGAAAAAAACTAAATACCGAACTCAGAAGCCGATAAAAAAATATACAAAATTAAACAAAACTAAAGAGTAAGAGGCTAAGTTTCCCCTACCTGTCCAATGGACCCGTCTTGGCTGTTTTAACTCATCACGATTTTTAAGTTTTTGGAAGATCCATTTGAAATCCAGAAATAAATATATAAATGGGAGAGAACAAAGCAAATCGATAACAATTTTTACCGAATGGGAAGTCTCCAGGTAAAGATTAAAGTTGGCCTGTATAAATAGCCTTAGCACTAAAAACGAGGACTCCAACCGGTTCGGTCTTCTTAGACGTATGCTGAGCCACCACGAACTTACTAAGATAGTGTTGAAACAACCACAAAAAAATTTATCACTAAGTACCTCACCGGCTACTTGGAAGTTTCTTCCTCTTGCCCGCTTAGGGTCTGGAAGTGCTATTCTCATGCACGAGACCATATTTTCACGGCTGAAAACGAAATTAGTATGTATGCAATTCCTACCTCGGGCAGTAATTGTATGTATGTGGAGATCTTCATAAAAAGGAAACATTTTCTGTAAACTTCTCGGCTAACAGCCAATGGGCGCTACCCTTTTTTTTGGCTGCTGTCGTTGCTCAGGCGAAGGGCACTTTAAGTTTATTTAAGAGATTAGGGAATATTTGCGGCAAGAGATATTTCTGTCAACAGCCCACTTTAAACGGATCTTGGGTTCCTGCATCACATTCCGCCTATTTGTTCCCAGAAAGGATGAGTATGGATTAGATTTCACTCTAAGCAGATATCGGTGATACGTATTTATCTCCCGATCATTAAATTCATAGCACACAAAAATCTGGTGTCTTCTTAATCTAAGGAAAAAGGAAATTCTTATCTAACTTCCGTACGTACGGTAGCAGGAGGGACTCAAATGTTTAGGAGCAAAATATATAAAATTATTTTCAAGCTAATGTTGCCAACGTAGACTTTTTCGAAAGGCTCACTCGAGGTACAGAAATTAAACCACTGTTGGCCAAGGGTTTCACCGAAATACTGAGGTACACAGACATCTTTAAAACGATGAGCCAGGTCTTTGATAGTTTGAGGTTGCTACTAAACTAGGATTTTCCGGTTCGGTTTCCTTTCTGCTCGGATGATAAATTTTCGAAGTTCTCATTTGGGGTATGTAGAACCATCATAAAAAAATTCTGTCATAACACTTACGATGCCGGCAAATCGAATATGCTGTATAGCTTTGGGCAGCGTTAGAACTTTACTACGATCGTAGTAGATTTGCTACGATTTTTGACGAAAATTAGAAATTTACTACGCTACTCCGCTTTACCCACGATCTATTTCGGTTTTGTTTACCAAATCATAAAGAGCATTTATTGCAGTATCTGAACTCAAAATATTGTTGTATGTCTATTTTTCAAAGTAGCTTTTAAAATTTATGTGGCCTTCAAAGACATTTTCCGCTAAAAAATACTACACATTTTTTGCTTAACAGAGTGATTGGCTTCCAATTACACTGTACCTATGTATTTACTTAACTTCTGAAATATTCTAAAAAAAGAGATTTATAAGGCCATGAAATAGTATTCGAATCAATGTATTCTCAGTTTTGTTTATTCAGATATTGTCCTACTAAGGTTTTGATTTTTATTGACTTAGAACGTATATATATCCTTGTCATCAAACACATCCCATTTTTAACTTTGGTGCGTCATTTGTTCAAGAACTGTATGAAATTATGCGACGAATAATTTTTTTAGAACTTTCTAGAAATAGGCGTGGCTATATTAAAAACAAAGTTCATAAATTCATACTTTATTGTGGATTCGGAGACATGAAATCATATTTTTTACGAAATCCGTCCGCCTTAAAAAAGAATGGCTCATATACATATAAAATATCTATTACGGAATTTCATTTTCTGCTACGCTTTTTCACTTCAATTACTCCGATTTAGGTTTGCCGTAGTTCTAACCCTGGCTTTGGGCGCTCTATGATTTTTTCATACTACATATACAAATGCTTTACTCAAAATCAGCGACAATCAGAGAGAGCTTTTTCCCAGTTCTCCCCATACAAATATGATGAAAGCGTTAAAAAGCTTTTTACATGAGTCATATTTTGGGCATTACTGTTCGACATATTTCCGATTTCGCTACAAAACCACTTATATAAATTTGGGTTGGTTATTTTATGGCGATGGGGGGCCCCGGCTGGCCGCGGGAAAATTATTTACATGGCATAAAAGCTCTCTGTGATCAACGCTGGATTGGATATATTTTTTGCTTAAAACTATTATCTAACTTTTTTAAAGTAGCCGCACCCCAAATCCCTTCCTTGGTACACCATTTTCTCATTTACATACTTTGACAAGTAATTTACATTCCCCTCTTCGCTTTCAGCGCACCTTTGAGGTAATTTTCGACTCTTTTCCTTACCACTTCCATTCAGAAATCTTAAACGGTAAATTGGAGATCCAAAACAAGACTGGCGATACATATTTGGACATTGCTTTGGAAGTACATGAAGATCTCGATAATATTTATCTTCAATACGCCATCGCTTTAGACTTGGGCGAAAGCAACAATACAACACTCGTGAATCGTACGATAAATTATTGCAAGTTTCTTAAGCAGCATTCAATGGAGCCACTACTACGTATAATTTACGAAGATTTACTGAAACAGGGTAACTTCATCAAGCGATGTCCTGTTAAGAAGGGTAACTACACAGTGCGCGGATACCGTATCGATGAAGAGACGTTGCCGAGTTATGTGCCTGAAGCTAAATTTCTCGCAGACTTCAAGTTGCTCCACACCAATGGACAGGTGTTATTCGAGGGTCAGCTACATGGCAAGATCGATAAATCGAAAGGATTCAACAATTTTAAAAGCTTCAGTTTGGGTTGATGAGATAAGCAGAATGTGAAGCAGCATGTGAAGCGTTAATAATATACATACATACATATATGTATGTATACTAAAATATTTAAAAATACACAAATCATTTTTATTGTTAATAAAATTGCACTTGACTAGACACTGTAAATTTTAAAAGTATTTTTATTCACTCGCTGCATTCCTTAGAAGTCAACAGCTCCAGTTCATACGCGCCTTAGATAATCTTGGTCACATTCGCTGGCATAGTCATTAAATGGCTGACGGATCTCCGCGCTATACAAACACACCCACACACAGAGAAGTATTCGCGTATCTGTCTAGTGAACCGATACATCAAAGTGGGTTGGCCCGGGCGGCTGGTAATTGGTGGTGGAAGGATTTTGTTGGCCGCTGTTGTCGGTTGACTACGACAGCCACATCGCCGCCACCTTTGCGCGGCGTGTCAACGTCATTGCATCGTCCGCTTTAGTATGCAAAGCAGCTGTCCTCGTACAGTGTTGTGCCTCCGCAGATTCTATGTGCCTGGGCTGTGTGGCATTGCTTGCTTGTCACGTGACGACATTGTTCATCATCTGTGAAATTGTGTGCTATGCGTGTAATGGCGGCTTGATGCGGCTTTCCGCGTTCCGCGTTCATTTGTTCCTTTTACTATTTGCTTTTCTTAAAAGTTTTTGCAATTTTTCGGTTTTTTATTTTTATTTTTTTTTATATTTTTTTTTTGCATTAACCATTACATGCGGCAGTGGTGTCACGCTGTCTGCCTTTTGCGATTAATTATGACAATTGTGTGAAGCTGATAATCATGATAGAAATAAGGAAGTCAGATTCAACAGGAATGTGCTATGTTGTTGAAAACGAAGAAACGTGCTGGTATTTATTCGTATGGAAAATATGTTTATTAAAGCCTAAGCACGTTTCTATAAAGAACTTAGAATGTCAGTATATGTAAAATACTTTGGTACTAAACGAATAAACTGAGGCACGATAAATTGAATAAAGAAAAGTGGAAAAGTTCAAATGTTATCGAACAAAAATAGGACCGAACAACTTAAAAATGTTGGTAAATAAAATACATAACAAAATATTCGAAATATTTTGTGTTTTCTTTTATCGATTATTTATCGATATACAAATCGATTGTTTATCGATATCGTTGTGCATAAATTAATCACTAATAATGATCAATATAAACTTTTATTGATACTGTATCGTAATATTTATTGAAAGTATTGTACATTAATATATTTTATTTTTTTTAACGATATAGTTATTATCAGTAAAACTTTCGTATCTGATCGACGATAAATATTGTTATCGAAATATTTTCTGTTTTAATTAAATATTAACAAGCATACATATGTATGTATCGATCTTTTATTGAGAACCTTATTGATACGCATGTACATACAATGTATGTATATCTGTCGAAGTTATTTTTGAAACTGATATCGAAATATTCATTTTTATTGCTATCTTAATATTATTTAATGTTATTGTCAATTATTATTGCTGTTGATCAATTTATCGGTATAATCAGAAATATAATTGCGATAAATTTATCGATAACTTATTTGTTCGTATCGTTATCGATATATCTGTGGACCTCGCTGCTTCAAAATTTACCTTCGTGTATTTGTATCAAACTGAAATCAAAAACCTTCGTGTAGATAATAAGTAACGCAGCTTCAATCTGTATTTGGTTTTGAAGGAAAATCCATCACGAAAGAGCATCTAGAACAGAAGTTTGCTCTAATCATTAGGAAATATTCGCGAAGCTTTGGGAACTCTAATTATGGGCAGCTGCGGTGGAGCCACTTCGACTTATTCGGTTTAAGGGCTCCGTGAAGTCTTCAGCGTCTGTGTACCAGTAGGTGCTCGAGACTCGCTTTATAAACGTCTATTCGGTTGCGAAACTATCCCCGTCACAGCAATGGGTTGTGCGTTAGGTTTGGGTCCCGCCAAGTAAAAACCCCTTCCCATTGCGATGGAAAGACCAAGTCCAGAGGGACTGTAAGTTGGCACAGAATTGAAACGACTGGCGTGCTTTGTTGAACACGGCCAAAAGCGCATAGGCGCCGCCTATTAGGCGGTTACAGAGCGAAATAGGAAGAAGAAGAATGATGGGCAACAAACTATAGGTGGTTTCTTTGGACTATATGGGCATATGTAAGTAGAAAAGAGAAGGAGTCGAAAATTATTCAGACTAGACGTGCAAATGCCCAGGACTTTGAAAAATGTGCATTCGAATTCTGAAGATCTGGACGATTAGTCGCCTACTCGTTCGAAAGACTGACCAGGTTCACCAAAAGTCCATACTTTTTTAAGACATGCAACGATCGGTTTTAAGAGGGTTGCAGCATCAATAATATTTCTCTAGCTTCCTGAACCAGCAGTATGCCTGGAAGTATGCAGCAAAAGATGTTTCCCAGCTAGCGTAAATTACTTATTTCTTTCGCTAAATTTTCACTTATATGCAATTCTCCACCGGCTTATAAATTTATTATCTCAAAATTGAAGGTGACCATACTCGTTTCAACGAACAACAGTTAAAATATATCTCCTATAACTATTTTTAAAGCTATAATTTCCCTTAAAGTCACAGTGCTAAAAGGTTCTTGAGCTACATCGAAAATCATTTCCGTTTTCTACACCCAAAATTAGTATTAGCCGTTTAAACGTGGCGATTACGAATGCTTTAAAAGCACAAGGTAAATTACGCGCCATTTCAATTAATGGCATAATTTAAAAGTAAATTGCTCAACAATTTTATCACGCAAACCTATCAATGCCTAAAGTGATCATTTATGTGCCAAATCGACACAATCAATGGTAATTTGTTGCATACACAAAAAAATTGATAAAACACAGAAACGAAATACATACCTATGTACCCTACAACCTTTGCACCAGCGCGCTCTCAACCGTTAGGTTTTACCAAAAAGTAAACTGTTCACTTAATACCGCGAATATTTGCCGTGGGCCACCAAGAGCTCTGTTATGTTGTTACGCAGATGGTTAGCGGCAGCGTGCTACCCTCTGGACTTGGTTGGACATTGCATGTCGCTTTCGTCAAATGTGGCATAATTTATGACACTTTCATTACGTTGACGACAAGCGGCTGGCGACAAATGCCATACAAAAAATCGGAAGGATTGAGCAATACATTGGCGTGTATGTAAATATGCATATGAGAAAAATCGAAAGGGATAGACGGACTTAAATGGTGAAACTGGTGAACAAGTGGGCGCCCAACATACATATCTCCGGATGGCGTTGGCTGACACGTGTTACTACAAAATGCTTGGCCGCCCGCCCACTCAATCACATTACAACACATAGTATGTCGTATATTTGAAAAAAAAAAAATCGCGTACACGAAACGACACGACAAGCGTAACGGGCAGTATGAGGATCATTCATTTGAATTGCCCTGGGTCGTGTTACAAAACGTTTTTCAAATGTGTATTTCTGAAATTTATTCGCGTACGCTTATTGGTGACTCTGCAGGAAATGGGCTGGTATTTCTTTCACTATATTTTATGGATGCACTAAACCACTATAGCATCCTAAATACATTTCTCTTTCAAAATTTGAATAAATTTTATACTTAAAAGTTATTTAGAGTCCTTTTCTCAATTCTGTCAAACTGCAGGCGGTGAACCGAGACTCTTTTAAAACTTTAGTTTTTTTAGCCAATATATTCCCTCTTTAAAAAGGGGAGCATTATTATATGAGACAAAATTTCAATACAGCTATTTTCCGCCAATTTGATTTTTCTTACAGGGTTTGCACATACTCTCGCATTTACATTTACATATCCTACCTGCTGTTACGTTTGACCAACTGTCACGTTGACATTTTCACCCTAACGGTGTCAATTTTTTAATGCCAATCGCAACAGGCCATTAAGGGGTTAGAGAACAAATGAAGTGCAGTGAGAGAAAGAGTGATTAGTAAGCGGGAGGGCGGTGGGCAGTGTTGGCCAAGCGAACAATTAACTCAATGCTCACAGTAGTGTTTTTCGATAGTAAATTAGTTACATAGTTAGCAAAACTGCATATCGACCAAAGTCCATCGCTCCCAATAATTTCAGATAAAGCAGTTTCACTTCATTTTTACTTAAAACACTAGAGAGGCTCTTCCCAGGGAAGGCCTGTGAGAGTTAGTCCGCGCACTACCTCCGTGTGGTCATAGCTGCCGAAGTAGCCATGACCTGGTCGAAAACCTGTTGAGACAACCGTAGTTCAATTTCACCGCGTCTTTCAAACGCCGCCTTTCGCTCATTGGAAAAGGCACCTCTCGATCATCTCTCACCATCTCGTTGTAGTCAGTTTTATCTTCAGCGTCATTCGAGTGTACAGCCTCATTCGCCTCATTCCGCTCTATCCTATCCTGCGGTAGTGCTTTTCCTGAAATGCTTTTGACGTCGATGATTTAGTCGAGAGAGAAAGAGATTGGTCAAGCGACGGAGAACCGTGGCTCTCACTACTGACTCCGTCGCCATGTGTCAGAGTCTTCTTATTTGAAATAAGAAGGAGCTACTCCTGAGTGGCTGGTACGGACTGCCTAGTCGAGGCATGTTCATTTAGTCTCATTTTGTGTTCCATAGTAATAAGGCATTATTTTTGTTGCTCATTTTATGTGTATCTTACGGACGCTCCACTTGTTAATTCTCAGGAGGAAAACCCAGCGAAACTGAGCTGGGCTGTACTGAAACCGAGACGGTCCGATACAGCGAAATGAGTGAGTGGGAAGGCGAGGAAGTCAATCCGTCATGATAGCGCCTCATGCCATGGTAAGCTCAACGTTACTCACTGATGCGACCCGATTTCAGTGAGGCAGCGTAGACTCTTTTTCAATGGGTAAGCTTTGCTCTTAACACTTTGGATTAAGGACAGCCTCTGCATCACTATCAAAGACCATTGCGATGGGTTGTGCTAACTGGTATGCGAACAATGGACTCGCTGTAATAATAAATTGCTCATGTTAACTAAGGAGTGTACTGACACCCCACGCGACTCTTTCGTCA